TGTCCTCGTCAGGAAGGAATGTTTCGATAGTTCTGTGTACTCATGAGTCTTTTTCATCCTTCAAAGTGCCTGGCAAGTTCTGATTCTTCCATAAGTTTTTCTTTTCATTACTAAGTGCCTACTATCTGCCTGGCCTTACACTTTTCTTTTGATCTATCATATTATGCTTTTTATTTACATCCACAACAAAGATGGGAATCTCCTAAATGTGAGCTGGGAGGAAATGTCCTTTTGCTGACTTTTAGTGTTTTCAAAAAAAAAAAGTAATGGAGAAGACAATAACCCTCATCTATTATTGTTGCTTTTATTATCAAAACACTTGGCCACTGAGTATGTCATTGCATAAGACGGGGGTGGGTGGGGACAGTCCCCACGCAGTTCTCTTAAGGAGTCCATAGCCCTGGTGCTATGCCCAATCTAAAATACAAGTCCTTTCTCCTCTTGGAACTGGGGATCTGGTGGAAATCTCAAGTCATTTGTGCCATTGGGTGTCACGTAAGACCAAACCCACTGATGGCTCCTTCCTCACGTGCCTCACACCCACAGATCCAAACATGTTTGCTAGTGCTTACCCTTTCTTTCCCAACACTGTCTGAGCAGACGGTCAATCAAGTGACAGCTATGGATATAAAAGAAGACGAGAGGACTAAGCTTCTAAATTGGGGCTGCTCAGGGGTCTCACGAGGTGGCTGGCTCAACTTGGAGCATTTCCACTGTACTTCAGAGTCGAATGGAAAACACAAACCAAACTCTCATTGTCTTTTATCCAGGTTTTCCAGGAGCTACAGATTCAAACAGATGCTGCATTGCTCTGTCTTGAGTGTAGTCTCCTGGGACGAAGAGGAAGAGCAGGAAGAGAATGAAGCCGGTGACCTCGTTATGAGAACGAAGCCGGTGACCTCGTTATCGGTGGAGGAAATGCTCTCTTCTTCACACTGGCCTCCAACCCTTCCTTGTGTCACTGAGTTTCTGTGAGTGCCACCAAGTTCAAATGCAGGTGTACAACACTAGGATCCTCGGGAAGGCCCTGGCCCTTTAAGTAACTCAAGACCGCTATTAACAATGTCTTCCTGAGAACCAACGAGGAAGGGTCTGCACTGTTATATGCATATATGCACATAAGCATTATCATTATTCCACTTCAGCTATATAAAACCTCAGAAAGGACAGTATTCTCCCTTCAATGTGGAATAGAAGGCAACATAAATATAGGTCCATTTTGTCCTCAACATCATCCTTCTTTGCACCAGTGACCCTAACAACCCACACACGGTGTTGGGTCTCCTTCCATCTCTATCCCCGACAGAAACAGGTAGCTCCAACCTGCAACTCACTATTGGCGCAGAGACTGGCACATAATAACCTTCAAAAAATACGTTTTGAATCTAATTGAATCTTCCTGCTCCTTTCTGGTGATTTCCGTGAAGCCTTCTTCATCTCCCCTTGCCGGCCCTACTCGCTGTGCTCTCAGTGGGCCGCCAGGAGCCATGTGAGTGAGAGACCCACATGGGCAGTGCTCCTGTGTTCCCCTCCACATCAGGGACTTAACGTTGGATGGTCACCCTCTGTAAACAAAGGGCTGGAAACAGAGACTCTGACTAAAGAATTCCAGCCCTCTGGGGAGACCTGGGAGAGGGGTTTCCGTACATCTCATCAGCTTTGTCCATCCCTGTCTAGATAGCCCACCCTGACTCTGGTTCTCCCAGGCCGAGAAGCTCTGTAGGGATTTAGAAACGGTCTAGAATATGAAACCAAAAAGACCTGCTTTGAAATTCTAGTATATACGTGTTTATTTTCCAGGGGCAAATTCCCCCACGTTTCTGAGCTTCGATTTACTCCACTGTTAAGGAAGTAACTATATGTGCTGTACAGAATTGTGAGAAGAAATAAATGAGTTGCTGCCACACAGAGTCTTGAAGATTGAGAAAGAAAGCAACTTAAATAAAATTCTGAGCACTTAGCAGGTGCATGATTCAAATGTCGGCTGCTAATTTTTTTTTTTTCGTGGAAGGAAAAGCCAGGTCAGTAAAGTTGGGCTTCACTGCCAAGATGATGGGTCAGATTAGAACCGTGCCTCATAGTTTCTGATCTTGGTCTCTTAGGGGTGACTGGAAACCTTCCAACAACCTCCCTACTTGCTTCAAATTGTTCTGGCAAACCACTCACTGGCAAAGTGTGAAGAAGAGTTTTGTGGTGTAGAGCAGAGATGCACACATGCGAAAGAAGGGGCCAAGAAGAGGCTCGATTTATACCTGAAAAGCTTGGAGTCACACATAAGAACTGAGCTGTTCACTGAGCATTGTTCCATGGGAAGTAGGTCTTGCGAGGTTGGAGCCCCAGATTTGGGGCTTGGCAGGAAAGGGCTGGTATTGTGTCACCTCCCTTGATTTGCTGCAATATCCTAGATAAACAGTTGCTATTTCATCCTTGTGGTGGATAACTGTGATCCCATAAACATCGTAGGATCAGCTCGCATACACAAGGGAGGAACCAAAGTTAACGTTTGTGCCACACGCCCCTGGCAGAGATGTGGCAGAATAATACTAATAACAGCCAGGAGTTCCGTAGTGCTTGCTATGTGCCCAACACCACTCTGAGCACTTGACACACAACACAACACCCACTTCCCTTCTGACACAGATGCCCTAGTCTCATGTGAGTAAGTCTTTCAAACGGGGCATCACACATTTTCTTTTTCCAGAATGGCTTCCTCTAAGTCACTCACACAAAAAAATGATTTCATCTTACTATGTTGGAAGTCCCACCACATCCAATATCAGGTGACCACAACACGTCCCGGTGTCATGCTGGGCCCAGGGCATGGTGCCCAAGGATGGCGGTGCCCTGTGACTGGTCCCTTCAGCGTGGTCACTGGGATACCATGAAATCATGGAACTGCTCTCTTTGGTTCACTGGGATGAATTCCAGCTCTCCTGTCAGTGCCAGCCAACCAGGATATGCAGCGCTTCTTTTTATAAAAAGGAACTTCCAAATACCGTGTTGTCCTGAGAATTCAATGAGGTAATGCCTGTAAGCCTCCTAGCACAGAGCCTGCCACACAGAACAGAAGCTGAGCTTTCTGCGCCAGTAACGGAGGGACATTCCAGGCAAAGGGAACAGCACGTGCAAAGGCAAAGGCACGAGGGAGAGGCTGAGGGACCTGAGAACAAGGGTGCCCTAGTTTGCTCGGGCTGCCATAGCAAAGGACCACAGACTTCGTGTCCCAAACAACAGAAACAAAGATGTCTCACATCTCCGGAGGCTCCAAGTCCAAGAGCAAGGTGTCAGCAGAGTTGGTTCCTTTGGAAGCCAGTGGGCCTGTTCTAGAACTCTCTCCTTGGTTTGTAGGTGGCTGCCTTCCCCTTTTGTCTTCACATCGCCCTCCCTTTATGTGTATCTCTGTGCCTGAATTTCCCCTTTTTATAAGGACACCAGTCAGATTGGATTAGGGCCCAACCTCACAACCTCACTTTAACTTGATTCCCCCTGTAAATGTATTATCTCCAAAAAGGGCCACAATCCAAGGTACTGGGGGTCAGTGCTCCAACATATGAATCTGAGGCCACAGAGGGGGGAACAACTCAATGCTTAGCCAAGACATTGGTTTCACTGGATTGCAGTCCAAGGTGGGGGGGGGAAAGGGGGGGTCAGTCGGAATGAACAGATAAGACAAACTGATCCTGAAAAGCTAGCTGGAGACGAGATCCTTAAGAGCTTTAAATGATATTCACTGCACATCAATATGTCATTAGGCTGAGGAAATTCAAAGGTCAATAAGGCATGACCTCTGACCTTGACGGGCTGCAAGTCTGGTGAAGACAGGCCTTGAAGAGATCATTTGAATAGTGGGCCAGGCCTGTACTTTAATGATGGGAATAATAAAATAATAATAATAATTTTAATGGGAAACACAGAGGCAGGAGCCCCTCACCCAGTGCCGCCTGGGGTGTACTAGCGAGGTTGTGGTGGGGCGGCGTCACCCCAAAGGCCTGAAATGACAGAGAAGCTTCAGGGTGGGGCCAGAATTGGGCTAGCCCCCAGCTGGAGGGTAAGAGCAGCCTGAGTCCAGTCACTGTAGGAGCATGAACTGGCCTGTTCCCCGGCCCCCCCCAGCCCCCCATAGCACCCTGCAAATATTATCAGAGCACCAACCTGCAGAAAGCATCATAGGAGACCCGAAGGGTAATCCCACTGGATCTGGTAGGAGAAGGCAATGTGTACAGGAGAAGATAAAACATGGGGTCAAAATTGATGGGTCTCAGGAGAAGATCAGATGGGATGATAGGAGAGACCCCGAGAGAGGTGGTATATTAGTTTCCTGAGGCCGCGGTAACAAATCACCACAAACTTGGAGGCTTGGAACAGCAGATATTTATCCTGTCACCATTCTGGACGCCAGAAGGGCAACCCTGAAGTGTCGGCAGGGTCGACTCCCTCTGGAGCCTCTGAGGGAGAACCTGTTCCGGGTCCTCTCCTAAGTTCCAGTGCTGCTGGCAATCCTCGGTGGGCCTGGCTTTGGGGACACATCAGTTCAACCTCTGCCTCATCTTCACACAGCCTCCCCCTGTGTCTCCGTGTGTCTTCCGTCTCTTATAAGGAACCCCTTCACTGGATTGAGCGTCTGCCCTCATCCAGATGAGCTCATCTCAAAACCCTTTCCTTCACTACATTTGCAAAGACCCCATTTCCAGACAGGGATGCTTTCGCAGGTGCTGGGAGTTAGAACTTAGACATAACTTTCTGGGGGACACAATTCAACCCATGACCAGCAGTTTGCCTCAGGTTGGGAGAAACAAGGGAGGATTTGGGGGTGGGGAGTAGGTAGCATCTGAGCTGGCCTTGCAGGAAGACAGAGGATTGGACCTTTGGAGAGGTGGGAAAGGGACATCCCAGCAGAGCGGTAAGAGGAGCGACGGTCCAGAGGCGCAAGAGCGCCATTCACACGCAGAGGACACCAGCCATGTCACGGGAGGGCTGAACGAAGAGTGTGCATCTGACTGTCCCTTCCTTGTGATTCCTTAAGTTGTCTCCGTCATGAGCACCGTCCCTGTCATGACCCAGCACTGAGTTCAGCCATGTGGCAGAGACGTGGACCAAGGAATGCCCCTCTCCTCCATTCCTTCAGAGCAATTCCAGCTTGCCCACGGCCTGAGTTGTCTTGCTCCAATTCCCTTACATATGTGCTCAGTCGAAAGTATCCCAAGAACCCAGTGTGACCCAGGGACTAAGCACCTCCCTGCACCTCAACTTCACTAGGTGCTTGAAGAATGAAAAGGTATTATTTTATTTTATTTTATTTTATTTTATTTTATTTTATTTTATTTTGAGAGAGAGCAAGAGCAAGGAGGAGAGGCAGAGGGAGAGGGAGAAGCAGACTCCCCACTGAGGAGGAAGCCCAACGCGGGGCTGGATCCCAGGACTCTAGAATCATGACCTGAGCCGAAGGCAGACGCTTAACCGACTGAGCCACCCAGGCGCCCCGAAAAGGTATTATTTTTATCAAGAAAATACACCCTGGTCTCTGAAGGAGGACACTACAACAATTACCTGAGATTTTAAGGAAAAGGTGGGGGGCAATAATTCCCACCTCTCGGGTTTGCGGTAAGGCGCTTACTTGGTAGAGTCTGTACAATGCTTCACAGAGAGCTCAGCCTATAGGATGAGGCTGGCCCTGGAAGAAAAGCAAAACCCAGAAGAGTTTGGGAGACCGTCTTGGGCTCTCATTTGCCACTGGGTCTCTTCACTAGAAAGGTTTCTGGAGCACTGGCCCACTGGTGCAGTGATGGGAAGGCACAGCGGGACCCCATTACTTGCATGTCAGCCTGAGGGATTTCTGCTTTCTCCTAGAGCCAGTGGGAAGCTGCTGCCTTAGAAATCAGTGAGGTCCACTGATATGAGGAATTCTTAATCTCAGGAAACAAACTGAGGGTTGCTGGAGTGGTGGGGGGTGGGAGGGATGGGGTGGCTGGGTGACAGACATTGGGGAGGGTATGTGCTACGGTGAGCGCTGTGAATTGTGCAAGACTGTTGAATCACAGATCTGTACTTCTGAAACAAATAACGCAACATATTTTAAGAAAAAAGGAAAAGAAGAAGATAACAGGAGAGGAAGAAAAGGGGAGTATGTCAGAGGGGGAGACGAACCATGAGAGATGATGGACTCTGAAAAACAAACTGAGGGTTCTAGAGGGGAGGGGGGGAGGGGGATGGGTTAGCCTGGTGATGGGTATTGAGGAGGGCACGTTCTGCATGGAGCACTGGGTGTTATGAACAAACAATGAATCATGGAACACTGCACCAAAAACTAATGATGTAATATATGGTGATTAACATAACAATAAAAAAATTAAAAAAAAAAAAAAGAAATCAGTGAGGTCAACTTGCACCAGATTAATGTAAAGCAAAAGATGGACAAGCACTTGATGCACTGGGGCAGGGTCAGAAACTCGTAGCGTACGCCCCTTTCTCTCCTCCTTCTGAGTGCTCAGAGCCACGCGGAGAGCAGTAGTATCTAAGCAACTGGAGACACACATTTCTTTTGCCCCCGAAAGAGAGGGTTGATAGTCTTTAGAAAGTTGTGTTTGTGAGATGAGCCATCACTCCAAGCTGTTAAAGTTAATTCTTTTCAACTAGTCATATAGCTGCCAGTCATTTTGTTACCCACTTGTGCTCTTACTGTTAAAAATTTGTTAACTTCTTTTTTAAAACCCACATTGAGTCAGACTGAGTGAACTCTGCCGTGGGCATTTCCATCATTCGACACTGAGCTTCTTAGCAATAGCCAGAGGTGGGACTTTTTGGCAAATGCTGTTTATCCATCTTTGAAATGAGACATTGATTGCAAGCAGATTTAAAAGGAAATTCCTGTAAAAGCATTTTTTCAATGATAGTCTTTGCTTTTTTTTTTTTTCACTCGCCCATAACTTTCTGGAAAATTCTACTTTTGGCTGAATTTTCTCATCATTGTTTTCAGTATAAATTTGTTTTGTTTTTTATTAATGGAAAGTTCAGGGCTGGGAAAAATCCCTTTGGTAGCTTTTGAGATACGAGAATATGAAAAAAAAAAGATACTTTTTCCAATTAAAAGAAATCTTTGGCCTTATTTTTCTTTTTAACAAAAACTTTGCATTTGAGGACTGGAGTAGACTCTAAGCAGTGGTTCTCAGTATCGGCCCCATGTTAGAACTCCTCGAAAGGCTTTAAAAAATACTGATGCCCTGGGAGCCTGGGTGGCTCAGTCGTTAAGCGTCTGCTTTTGGCTCAGGTTATGATCCCAGGGTCCTGGGATCAAGCCCGGCATCGGACTCCCTGCTTGGTGGGAAGCCTGCTTCTCCCTTTCCCACTCCCCCTGCTTGTGTTCCTGCTCTCCCTCTCTCTCTCTCTCTCTCTCTCTCTCTCTGTCAAATAAATAAATAAAATCTTACAAAAAAAAATACTGATGCCCGGGGCGCCTGGCTGGCTCAGTTGGTGGAGCATGCAGCTCTTGATCTCGGGGTTGTGGGATCAAGCCACACGTTGGGTGTAGAGATTACTTGAGAATAAAATATTTTTAAATAAAATCCTTAAAAAAAATACTGATGCCTGAGTCCAAAGACTCCAGAAAAATTAGTCTGGGTCCAGCCAGACTGGACTGTAGGCTGGTTCATATTTCCTTTCTGAAACCATATCTTGTCTCCCGCCATGGCCAGCAGGAGGGCAGCACCTCCCACCGGGATGGCTCCAGCCCTTCTGGGCTCTGGGACATTAGAAGCTCCCCGGGCAGTACTGAGCACTACTGTCTTAGGACACTACCACCCTGATCTCCAAACTCGAAAAAGGATGCAGAGGTCTGGAGATTTCAGAAGGGAAAATCAATTCTTACAGGGGAGAGTTGAGAGAAAAATAGTTATTACTGTGTAAACCATATGTCTCTAAGAAAGACGTGAAGGAACTTTAAGTGGAAAACCTTCATACCCCCCACACAAGTGGTCAAGGATCCCCAGCATCAGATCATCTCCTGTTGCTCTGGCAGAAACTGGTTCCTCACTAACACTTAAGAGCAAGGAATCCCCCCCACCCCACCCATCCAGCTTCGGACAAGGTATTTCTTTTTATGTTTGTGGATATCAAAGAACAAAAGAGAGACTTTAGGGGATCGGCTGTTTTCCTGGCTCTGTGGCCACCTTCTGCCATTGTCGGGTCTTCGCCTGGACTCTTATAAAAGTTTTCCAAATGGTTCCTCTAGGGCGGAAGCTGGGATAGACTTTTTTCCTCTGGTCATGCTGAGAAGGTGATCGCCAAGATGCACCACAGAGAAAACCAGACTCAGTACCACATCTGAAATGTCTTCTCCCTCCGGTGTAGTCCCCAGAGGAACATGACTCTGCTTCCTCGTCCCTCCTGACTCTGGACTGACCCCTGGACAGGCCCAACTAGTGAAGTTGCTGCCGTTTGATAACACCCCGTTGCCATTAGCCGCAAAGACCAACCACACCTGCTTCATGCTCACAGATGGGAATTCACGGATTCAACAAGCCTTGACTGGCTGCCCCCTACCAGCAGGTCAGTGTGGAGAGAATATTGATTTTAATAACGCACAGCCCCTGCCTCCATAGAGAGACAGAGAAGCAAACCACTGCACAAGACACCCCCAGGGCCTGGTTATCAGACTTGTTTGAGCGTCGGGGTGCCTGAAAGTCATAAGAAAGGGTCTTGATCACCATGAAACATTAATGCATTGACTGTAAAGTAGCTGTGTGATTTTGTACCAAATCAAATAACATCACAGAGTAGATTTCAACAGAGACAAATGTCGGTGACACGTTCATAATAAATATGGAGGGTGGGGGCTTAAAACTAAGCAAGTTCTATGTCTCAGATTTGTCTGTGAATCAAGAAAATACCGCCACTCTTCTGTTTAGCCACAGAGTACTGGAGACCAGTTGAGCAACCCCAGGAGGCTCCCTGGGAAGACATGAGGAGACCTTCAGTCCTTTGACGGTCACATCCACCCCACACGGTACCTTCGCTGCCGCAAGAGAGACCCAGGGCTCTGGTGTGATGTATGTCCCACAGATGGCTCCTCTTCTGGGGGAAAGTAGTTTCTCTGTTGAGAAAAAGCAGTACAGAAAATATGTACATATTTCACTCATTTAATGAGCTCTGAGTAAAGTTGATCATCTGTATGTGCCAGGCTCACTGCTGAAATATTGTGCGAGCTCTCAGAGTCTGCCTCCTTTAACATTTTCAACCTGATCATGCCTAAAACAGAACAAACAAACAAAGTGTGCAGGAAGGCAAACTAACTACAAAACTGAAACCCACGGAGAGAAGATGTCCTGTCTGGGACTCCTGTGGGACACGGCCAGCATCTACCCAATATCTTCCTGTTGAGCTCTGTCTGTGGGACTCAGTGTCTGCAGGATTTGATGTTTTCCTTGGGCCATTTTGTTGACAATTCCAATTTTGAGACTGCAATGTAACACTGTCTCACTGTTCCTGGGTAGGCTGTTCATATTTCCTTTCTGAAACCATGTCTTGTCTCCGGCCATGGCCAGCAGGAGGGCAGCACCTCCCAATGGGATGGCTCCAGCCCTTCTTGGGGAAGGCTGTGGGAAGTCTCGCCTCTCTCTGGCTGGCTTCATGGAAGTTGAGTGAAGGTCTGTTAGACTCATTTGGAAAGAGGTTCCTCAGACTTGAGTATGGAATGGATTCTATAACACAGTCTGTTGCGTTTGAAATTAATACATGTTGTCGGGCTTGGGCAAACGCCCTTGACCCTGCTTTCAGATTTCCTAGTTATCTGCAGAATTCCCCTTCAGTTGAGAAACGTCTTGTGTATGTGTGTCTATCTGACCACCGTGCTTTTTATTTGAAGTGCCTCCAATTAGAGAAAATGGGAACTAAGTGACTTTCATTTAAGGAAGTCCCATCTGCCTATCATCTTAAGGAGAGTTTAAAAATGAGAAGAAAAGAGCCGCCAGAAAAAAAAAAAGTAATTTCCTCCTTGACAATTATTTCTGAATAGGAACTTGAGCAATCTTACTCAAGAAGGTGGGGGTTTTGTCCCAGTGCACGTGCTCAGGAGTGCCTAAACTGATGCCCACTTCATAGTGTGTGGACTGGCACAGGGCAGCCCACCTCCTTGCATAGAGTGCTTTGCTGCCCACCACAAGCCCACCAGGCTTCCTACAGCTTTCCTGGAGTTTACCTCCAGTGATTCAGTCTTGAGTATCTGCTGCTTCAAAACACCTGCTGTCCCCTTCCCTTTGTCTTTATCTGTAGGTTTTAACATAAGGCAGAGAGCTGATGCTAACCCCTTGACAAAGAAACAAATGCAGGCATACTCTCTGTCAATGAAAGAGAGAGAGAGATGTAATATATATCCCTATACGCTATATATCTATAGTTGTGGGCCAAATTATGTCCCCCACCAAATTCATCTGCTGAAACCCTAACTCACAGTGCCATAGAATGTAACCGTATTTTGGGACACCTGGGTGGCTCTGTTGGTTAAGCATCTGCCTTCGGCTCAGGTCATGATCCCAGGGTCCTGGGATCAAGCCCCACATCGGGCTCCCTGCTCAGTGGGGAGTCTGCTTCTCCCTCTGCCCCTTACCCTGCTAGTGCCCTCCCTTTCTCTCACTTTCAAATAAATAAATAAAACCTTTTAAAAAAAAGAATGTAACCATATTTTGAGAGGCCTTTTACAAGGTGATTAAGTTAAAATGCAACCATTAGGATGGACTCTAATTCAAAATGACTGATGTCCTTATAAGAAGAGATTAGGTCACACAAAGAGACATCAGGGATGCTAACAACAGAGGAAAGGCCATGTGAGGACACGGGGAGAAGGCAGCTGTCTGCAAGCCAAGGGGAGAGCCCTCAGGACAAACCAACCCTGCAGACACCTTGATCATGGACTTTCAGCCTCCAGAGCTGTGAAAAATACATTTGTGTTGTTTAAATCCCCCAGTCTGTGGGATTTTGCTGTGGTAGCCCCAGCAACATAAAGTGTGTGTGTGTGTGTGTGTGTGTGCACATGCACACAATGTGAGGTGATAAAAATTTGAGTGGTTAGTTGCAAGGCAAAAACCTTCTCACTGAGTTAATGGTAAATTGCTGAGTCACATGATTATGTTGCCCAGGAGAAGCCCCTTGCCAAGGATGGTGAGTGAAAAGTCCCATCTTTCCTGATCCATTCGTCAATCCATGGAGCCCTGACAGAAAAGTTAGCTCCCCTCCTTAGCACTAAAGAACCAGAGACAGTTTCCAGAAGAGCTAGATTTGAATTCCAACTGTTAGGACTGAGATATGCACATTGTCAGCAGCTAATAACTTAGAAAACTGAAATGATGGGATAGGAGCATGATACACACTTCCTGAGTTTGATAACAGCATCCTTTTTTGAACCTCCTCAACATCCAATAAAGAAAGTACCTTGCCCATTGCAGGGACAATATTTACATATTGTATATACTATATATATATATGTGTATATATATATATATATATATATATATATATACTGAGTGAATACAAATAATATCAGGACTAAATTTACAAAAGTATCCCAGCTCCACACCTCCCATCCTCAAAGAAAGTCATGCTTTTCTGGAATTTGTAAATGTCCTACTCAAAGTTGTAGATACTCTACCCTTCAACTTTGCATCCTGGAAATTCCCTTATATATAATTTGTATCCCTAGGTACTGGGTTTTTTTGTGTTTTTTTTTTTTTTGACGTCTACCGCTGATCGATGTTTATTTTACATCTCTACAGTCTATTTTATTTTTTTTTTAAGATTTCATTTATTTATTCGACAGCGAGAGAGGGAACACAAGCAGGTGAAGTGGGAGAGGGAGAAGCAGGCTTCCCACTGAGCAGGGAGCCCGATGTGGGGCTCCATCCCAGGACCCTGGGATCATGACCTGAGCTGAAGGCAGATGCTTAACGACTGAGCCACCCAGGCGCCACCTCTACAGTCTATTTTAAATCATATTAGCATGAACACACTGAAAAATGCATCAGGGGCTCATGGTGAGAAATACCATATCATCATGGAGCTGCTTTAAAATAAAGACTCTCACTGAGAAAGAGATTAAATCAGTGCTTTTTAAAATCAGTACTTGCAGGGCAATGCACAGCCGTCCTCATGGCACAAGTACAAAGTCATGAGAAGGACACACAAAGTCACTATTTGTTTCAGGCCTCTATTCCTGAGTAACCACCACCCCAAAACTCTGTCTCTCAAAACCACAGCAATTTCCAATGTCCACTGATCCTGTGGATGGCTGGGCCGCACTCCTCTGCTGGTTTCACAGGGCTCACTCAGATGACAACGTTCTGCTGGAGAGTCACTGAGCTCTGGGGGTTGGTGTCGGCTGTGGCCGGGGGAGCCTGGCCTCTCCTCCTCAAGGAGGATACACTAGTTTCCCATGCAGGCTTCTCAGGGCCACATTCAGGAGGGCAAGGTGGAAGCTTCCAGTCTATGGGAGGCCCAGGCTCCAGAACTTACGTGACATCTCTTTTGCTACAATCTACTGGTCAAAGCAAGTCATGAAACCAGCCCAGTTTCACGGAGTGGGGAAGTAGACTCCATCTCTTCATGGAAGCAGCTGCAGAGAATTTATAGCCACATTGAATCAACCACAAGAACGCAGCAGATTCAAAGTCACCCCACTACCTCCCTTGGTGAGCAAAGGGGTAAGTCAGGGAAACGGTTGTGCTGTGCTGGTGCTCTTCTGTGGAGGGAAACTGAGGCCCAGTCTTCCTTCCTGCCAAGGATGAACCTGCTGCGTCCGAGATGGCCCGGTGCCCACCTGCAGCCCACAGCTGCAGGAAAGAATCCAGTTAGAGAATCAACAGATGGGTTCACCCAGAAAGCTGTTGCTGACATCACTGCTTCTCACATTTGGCTGCATGTTGGAATTCTCTGGAGAGTTTTTAAAAATACTGATGTCTGTCTGGGTCCCATCTCCCGAAATTACAATTTCACTGGTATAGAGTGTGGCCTGGGGATTGGGGATTTTTAAAAGTTCCCTAGGGGATTTGAATGTGCAGCCAAGTGTGCCAAGGACCGGTGTCTAAACTTGAAGCTGCCCTGTCTCAGTTGGCAAGAAAGATTCAGCCATACTTATTGATGCTTATTGATTCTATTTACCTGGTCATTTGTGATGTGTAAGTAGAAGGATAATGTTACACACACACACACGCACGCACGCGCGCGTGCGCAAGGCATGTTCTGGTAGATGGTGATACAGGAAGCTTGCTTTCAAGTGTTTAGGGATTTGCAGAAGGGTATATTTTGTGGAGAACTGAGCTCTCTTATTGAGGAATAAGATACCCTGTGGGCAAACAGCCGACTCTAAGTTTCAGAACAAGCTAGAATGTCTTGTGGTCCATTTGGTTTCCTTAACCCAGGGCCACTGGAAGTGAGTCACCAACAGGGGAATACCACATTTATTTGAAAAAAAATAAAGTTAGCAAAGCTTCTATATAGTTAGATCCTGGACTCTGAGTCAAGCGATAGATGCCTTAGCTGTCTTTGGCTACCTAGTAAAGGTGCTTGGAATGATCCTGAACGTGAAAGTTTGCACCATTCCTTTGGAATGGTCCCCAATTTTTTATCTGATAAAAAACAGCATTGAGGTGTACCTGGCTGGCTCAGTCCCCGGAGCGTGTGACTCTTGTCTCGGTATTGTGCGTCTGAGCCCCATGTTGGGCGTAGAGATTACTTAAAAAAAAATCTTAAAAAAACAAACAAACAAACAAACCAGCATTGAGCGTAGCAATCGGAGTAGATATGTGTCGAAATATCTGATAAAAGCAGAAGTATAACTTCTACTGGGGAACCCGCCATTTTGCTCATTCTTAAAAATGAACATTCGTGCCCTTCCTACCGGGTGGGCCCCAGGGCCTGCCTCGGTGTCAGCGTGAATTTCTCCAGTGGAAGGGCCTGCAGGCTAATTTCAGGGCCAAGACATAGGAGTGAAAGCCAGCAAAGTACTAGAATTGTGGAATAACCCAGTGATTATAAAAATGCCATGCAGTCAGGCACTCCAGTGCCCCGGGCAAGCAGCGGGCCAATGTGCTCACTGTTTATTCC